TAATTCGGCTTTTTCTATTTATGGGTGTAGGAATTAGTGGATCATATGCCCAAGAATCGGTTTTTCAAAGAGTAAATCGTGCCTTACAATAACAATGGTTGTTTGAAGAAACGGTTAAAATACCTCCGAAGCCTCAAGAACCCATGGAAGCTTTTACACCGGCCACTAATCCGATTCAGACGCGCTTCGAGCATAACGGAGATAACTCAAATGTTTCTGATAGATAATGGGAATACTTAGCGAGAAAGCCGACAATTACCAGAACATCCCTGAGATTTAATAAATTCTTTAACCCGCGCGTATTAAAGTTTCCTCATAACATTTGGTTTAAGGGATCACACTATATTTTGAGGAAATCGAATCAATGAATTGTTTGATGATCACAAAACTAGCAGTATAATTGCTTAGAGCGAATGGTGAAACCAGTTAGTGATTTTAGACAGGCATTTGCCTGTGCGATAAGTAACAGCAAGTATAGTATACAGCGGTGATCATTGTTATGTTTACCACAGATGAAAATTTGAGACGCAGTTTTTTTTAACTCCTCTAGTGATGCCGAGGGGTGGTTGATTCGGAGGTGATTTTTGTCCTTCGTGTTTGAACCCGTGGTTGAACGAGGGAGGACCTCAGGGACCTAGGGGCGGAATATGTCCCTATTGGGCTCCACCGAGGGCGCTAGTATGGGGACAGGGGCTAGAATGAAACGAAGCCAAGGCAGACTTTGAAGAACAATCTAACGTCGGATAGGAAGGCAGGGAAGCAATAAAGATTGGCCTCGTTTGCATTTGGGGATGAGCACTTGGCGAAGGACCTGCTCATGTAGCGGGGACGAGATTGAGGCTAAAAGTGCAAATTCCAGAGCCTATATATGATTCACTGGTTCGACTACTCTATTCCCAGCGGGGATCAAGCCAATTCAAACCTTATTAAGGTTATGGCCCACAAGGTTAGACTGAATAAACTTCTTTAACCCTTAGTTTAGGTTTTTATTTCAACTAGTGACCTGAGATTGAGGATGCAGTCCTTGTTCATACCTCGAATCTATATGGGACCTATTTGTCTGGTGCGTGCAAAACAAGTTATTCATCAGCCCGAAAATGGGATCTTGCCTACCAGTTGTAGTTGCAAAAAAGCCCACCTTGACAAGGGTCGTCTGATTTCTTCTTTGTCTGGTTCCTCACCCACAGCCAAATTGCCTACCAGTGGGCAAAAGCCCCCTGAAAACATCTACTGTCAGATTTCTTCCTGTTTTTACTTGTGATTGCAATGATTTCATCTGATTGCCCAGAAACTAATAGATTATTCAATCTTTTTAGTATATGTGATATTGTTTTTAATTGTGCTTTAACAGTCACATCAATTTTAAATAGTTTACCAAAGTGTTGTGTGTCACATATAACAGACAGTGATATCAGTATTATAACTCCTCCTACATTAGAGTTCCTCTAAATGAGTGTCTTAAGTTTGAGCATTCACTCTGTGCATTCTGCATTTTAGTTTCAACAACTCCTTCAGCACTTTCAGAAGAAGAAACAGCTCATTTGAGTAGTCACACTGAAACAGAAAAAATCACACTTAAGTTTATTTTTTTCATGGGAGTAACACAATGGACTGGATCATCAGTGTTATACTGTTCTTGTCAGGCAAGTTTGTGCCTTCTCATTTTGTCTTCCAAAATTATGGCAACATTT